CTTCTTCTCTCCCCTCTCCCACTATTTTCTCTTTTTTCTTTTTTTCTACTTTCCTCCCTTTTCACGTGTAGCACGTCCGTTCGAAACAGAGTCGCATTGAACGAGAGCGTAGGCGTTTATCGCAGCTGGCAATATTTCAAGAGTGCACTGTCGAGGCAAATGCAGCGAGTAGGCCAAGTGAGGCCGGGGATTCATTTGAACTCGCTTCTTCGTCACATTTGAACAATGCCCCGGCCACTCGATTGTCACAGACATCTTTTGCACCGACTCGTCAAGGACGGCGAGTTGTTTCGAGCAAACAAACTTTTCTACCGAGTCCAACTGGACGCGAAAACAATAATTCACCCTGTAAATAAACCTGGGAAGCCTCGTTCCCTGCTCCCAGATATTCCCAGAGAAGCAAGCACCTTTGTACATACACTTTGTCGGATCAATCTCGCGGTCTCGCGTATATAACCGCGTCAAGTTTGCTCGAATTTTCCTCGAAACTGTTATCGATCGATCCCCGTTCGAGAAAGATGGTTCATCGACGAGCCTTTCGAAGATTAAGACCCGTATCTTTGGACTTTCGATGTTTACCAAGGTATTTATATCGTTGAACGATCGGTCGAATCTGCACGAAGAAGACGAGTCCTTGATAGAGAATTTTGATAACGAGACCTTCGAACAACCGATAGGATCANCCTTCGATAAACCGATAGGATCACCGAGAGGGAGGGGGGGGGAAGAGTAACCAACAATGGATAAACTTGAAATTACCGATGTCGGATTAAAAATAAAAGAGATTGCACGGGCGTGTACGACATACGATGCGACGACACGAGGGAAATTCTCGGCTGTCTTCCGAATCTTTTGTTTCGAAGACCGGTTTGACGTAATTGAACGAGCACCCGGGGTTAAAATATTTCATCGCGGATGGCAAGTAGGTCAAACAACGCAAAAGTAAGCTACATTCAACGAGCTACTCAAACCGGAGGGGAATCAATTAGGACGCGAATGAAAAAGTTTGTAATTATTTTGGGATCGTTAAAGTGAACAATGAAAAAAATCGTAGCTCGAAAGGATATACAAATAATTTGTATGTATCGAGGGATATATTGTTCCGTCATGAAAGATATTAGGTTGACATTATCGTATATCGTTAGATTCTTAAATCTTAATGCAATATATACATACCGCAAATTAAATTTTGTCTTATCGTCAATTTTGAGGATTAGCAAAAATTTAAAGAAATCTTATTCCAGATATACATCAACGTAATATTTTGTTATTTGTCACATTTATAGTTTATAATTTAAATTCTTATACGAGGCAAGGACCAAGGGAGGCCCAGTGGATGGCAATGAATCGAAAAGCCGCGGCATGAATGGAACAGTTAATATCAAAGCATCGAATGGAGAATGTGTGCATTACCTATGTGCGCATCCGGGCTTGCATGCACACTTAGACCGAGGGTTGCTGGAATATTCGTAAATAAATGATCGGGTCGGCTTACAACTGGCTTCGATTCACTGTCGTCGTCTTTCCATGACCGTTTCCTAACCTAGACACGTTTGCGCGCTCTTTAAAATCTTTCCTCGCTCCTTATTCCATATTATTATTATAATATCAAAATCTTGCCTTTATATAGGCTTTTCGTTACAACTTTACTTAAGTCGAGGACCTCCCATTCACGTTGCTTTAACTATCTATATCTTGTTTCCTCCAACTTAAATTGTTCATAACTTGACTTAATAAATCTTAATCGACTTTGCGCGTAAACTTTTGCGTTTGTTTTAGCCCCTAAAATCGAAAATTGAAAACTATTTACAATTGACAAAGAAAAAAATCACTCGCGTTTCATAAACTAACTCGTACAACTCTTTTTAAGAGAATCGGTGAACTAGGCCATTATCGTACGATCGAAAGTTTATCCGATTTCATTTCTATCGATCGATATTGTTGATTAATACGTACAAATTTCGCGTATAATGTTTCGCTATTTTGCGATTATTCCTTTATCGAGATACGATACGTGGTTTTTGAAAACGAGCAACTAGCACATCCGTGGAACGAGCAACAACAAAAATAGTTATCGAGCAGATTGCAGTTTTTATTGGCTCCCCAAGCAAATCGCAAACACAAAGAGTAAAAGTGGAGCGTTGCAATCGAAACTTTTACCCGTACGTTGGATAATATTGCGGTCTATAATTGACAACTTCTGCGCCAGGATGAACGGACAGCGGTCGCATCCGTTTACGAAGCAATAAATATCGCGGTGGCCATAGGATATTATAAATAATATTTAACGTAACGGGAAACGCAATTCGTGGACGTTAATGCGGATTAAATCGTCGTTAACATCGAAATTCTAATCGCGATGCAACGATTCGTCATTTCTTTTGCAATTTCATCGACGAATCTTTCTATCAACGATGACGATTTGTTCTCGGAAATTTAAAAAAATTACCTTTTCTATCCATCGGTAATTTTCTTTTATTTACAACAATTTCGAGAGGAATCGCGAGATCGTAGCTTCTTCGTTGTCGATTAATAATAGTTTTAGTTGATTCGCCGCTTCTAATTATCATATCGTGGAGACTATTAATTGATTGGAATTAAAACAACTAATTGTGAAGAAGAAGGATGCCTGGATAAAAAGTCGAAGGAACGAAACGGGGCAAGTCAAGAGAAGAGGCGATCGAGCGAGGCAAGGAGAAATTAAAAGACGTGGAAATGGACTGGTGAATCGAACTCCGGAGACTAGTAAATTTCCCCCAACTCGAGCTCTCGCCAAGGAGGATAAGAATGAGAAAAAGAACCGCTACGAAATCGGATCTTGTAACTTTTTTTCCTCGATCGTTCGTTCGACTCGTGCTCCACAGGTCTGAAAAGAACGGGTACAAAAAAGTCAAGGGATGTTTCGACATTGAATCCGATTACGATTTCCGTCTCGACAGGATGTCTTACCGAGCCATCGTAATACAGTTTACGAAATACCGATCGTTTTATTTAGATCCGAGAGAGAGAGAGAGCCAATCGAGACTGGTTACATTATCGGAATAATTTTACACGGGGTTGTTTTGCTTCGCGAAATTATATCTTCTCTCCGGTCTCTCGATCGAAAATCGACCATCCTAAACCGACAGAGCCGCAATTACGCAACTTTTATTTCCGACCCAGTTTGCCTTGCCATAGAAAATCACTCGGCCCAACTTTTCTCATATAGAATATGCGATAAAGGACAACAGTCTCGGTTGAATTCTCCCAAATCTTATCGGAGTAGTTCCCTTTCTTCGAGCGAGCTTCGAGAGTCGAGGGTTTGATTTATCTCCCCCGATGGTCGAAAACTAGGTCGATCGTGGGTCCGTGGGCATCGATTTTTCGAGGAATGCGAGCACACCACCTTTCCGTGAATATTTCCATCGATCAAGCGTAGACGACTGAACGTTCGGGAAAGTAATCTGGTTTAAGTCCGCGGAGGACTCGGTTAACCTCGTGAATCATTGACATTTCCTCAAAACATTGTTTATCACGGTGATAGAATTGCAAAAGCGACGAGGGGGCGGAGCCGCGCGCAACGATAGAAAACACGAGCGTTCGATACTGATTAATTCAATCCGATTCGCCATCGGACTTTCAGACCCACGATTCCTATTTTCCATTTCTCAAATCTAATCAACGAGAAAAACCTTTGACGTCGGTTACGTCGGACGAACGCATAAATTATTATATCCTTCGATCAAGTCTTCTAATTCTAATTCGATCCGATTTATTTTCCTTCACACGAGATATTCGTGGAATTAGCACGGCTCCATCATCATCGTCGAAACGAACAAATACGAACAATAACGAGGGAACGAATCGGTTAACACTCTTTTCGCTAGATCATCTATCCAAAATAATTTCGAGCCGAAATTACGATTGTGGACGTCGTCGTATCGAAAGAACAGAAATCGCGTGCAACTTTCAACCGATCGAACCAATTTTTCTTCTCCCCTTCTCTCTCTTTTCTTTATTCATCCCTTTTCCTTCTTGTTCCCCACGTGTCACCGTCTTATCGTCTACATACGTGTTCATGATGGATGTTGCCCCTGTGTGTGTGTACGTGTACATACGTACGTGTCTACGTATCTATTATGCGGAAACGGGGTTGAGGGCATGGATAAACGATTCTTTTTTGTCGTAGCTGCCACTTCTCGTGCGCGGAGCGGACCTGACTGCATCGGTGCATCCCGAACCGATCAAGGGGGCTTGATGAAAGGGAGATAGATCAGAACTGCAACGGCTCAATTCGAAGAAGGTGACAACGAGGCCGTGCATCAAAATCTCACGAGGGTGAACAGCCTCCCTCTCTCTCTCTGCCTCGTACCCTTGAATCCATCCCTCCGATATCCTTTCTTTCTTTTTTTTTTCTTTCTTTCCATCGTTGCTCTCTCGTTAAAACCTCGTCAATTTTTAACAAACCGATCCCATCCCCTCGAATCGTTGGTATCATTCAATTATACGTCAAATTTCCGCTCCGAAAGTCGCGCAGTATAGTCCCCTCCAGCAACACTGGAGAGAATGCATCGCGGAGAATCGAGGGACGATTGCGCGACTTTTGGAACGTCCGGTTCAGTTTGATGCTTTGTTATGAATAAATACATCGATCAAAGGCATATGACGTGGCAAAGTACGAGGACACAGAATCATGCATCGCGTAGAAACGCCACGATTGCTAAACTTTCGCCAAAGATAATCCTCGCTTCCTTTCCGCGGCATTTCGTTCCTTTCGTTCCGCTAGAACAAGAATCGATGTATCACGTACGATAATAAAGCAAAGTTTAGCAACGCGGCGATCGTGTATAGAAAAGTTTTGTCAACCATCGTGAAACGAAATGATATACGTACGCATAGAGAAAATATAAAGATACAGATAAATAGATAGATAGATAGATAGATAGATAGATAGATAGATAAATACATAGATAGATAGATAGATAGAGATAGAAAAAAAGAGATAGAGACATGCGACTCACCAATGCCTGGGCGGCGCTCTGGTGCTGCAAGCAAGAAACACCCAGTTACAATCACAGTAACGACAATCGAGTAATTGTAGTTTTGTTCGATGATTCGTGATTATCGCAAGCGGCGCACAGTCACACGAGAATGCAGTGCTCGCGAAAGCGTTTCACATCGACTTGTGCACAGAGAGATTACGCGTCGTGTAGAGGGATGAGTATGCGGCGTCGTAAACCCAGTCGAAGGTCGCGTGCCTCGATTAGCGAACAAAAAGAACTGGTGAAAGAAAAGAAGTAGCGATGGAAAAATTAAAAAGAGATCATAAGAGGAGAGATGTGAAAGAAGAAGAGGAGGAGGAGGAAGAGGAGGACGAGGAGGAAGAAAAGTAGAAAAAGAAGAAGTGGGGAAAAAAAACAAGAAAAAAGAAGCGGAATCCTTGAAACTTACTTACTACAATCGTGCAAATACTTGCGACCTTCGATCGATACGACGGCATCTCGTTTCCCGAATGCAGTTTGCTTCATTTTTTTTTTTTTTTTTTTTTTCTTTCTTGTTCGCGACATCTCGCAAGCTTGCAGAGGAAAAGCAGGGAAGAGGCTCTGTGGTCGCGAACGACAACAAGTGCTTGATTCTGTTAATAATTATGAGGCACGATGATTGGTGTTTCTGAGATGTTTGATGCGGATCGATACGGTAATTTTGACGCTGAATTTCGATTCAGTCGGCAAGGATTAATTAAAGCGAATCGTGTCACGATCCTCGTTTTCCACGTTGGCGTGTTTGCGTGGCACCGTGTTTCGCATCGTTCTAACGACCTATCTCGCACGGCTGAGTTCAACTTTGCCATCGTTGGAAAAATTCCTCGAAATTCCCCATTAATCGAGGCAATGAACTTTCTTCTTTGAAAACACGACAATTTGAAATTTGCTCGACCGTTTGAATTTGTAGGTAGATCGTGTAGATCGAATGAACAATTTCGTCGCGTTCTACGTTTCTTCGAGACGTAGTTTTATCTATTTCAGTATTTATTATTTATTTAAATCTCGTTAAATGATCGTTATTGAGAGAACGGGACGAATGCGAAGGGAAAGATACAAAAATCGAGGTATTCTCAGTGGGAGAATATTTTAAAGAATGATACGGGAGAAAAATATCGTCACGATGGATTGGATCGATACAGAGTTTGGAAAAAGAACGACTGCACGGAATCTAATAAATTTCGAAACGAAACAACTATCGATAGAAAAATAAATTTTTTCAAAGCGATGCGATTCTGGAGAAGAATCCAGTCTATGAAGAAACGAAATGAAAAGAAAAAGAAACAAAAGATGCATAAGATAAATTTCAAATGCGATTAAAAAACGTTTCGACCGTAACGAATAGATTACATTCGAGGCGAGAAGATTCCGCTTTGAGCGCAAGTTTTCGCGTCGCAAAGTTTTCGCGCTTCTTCTTCCGTTCCTCGACGGAAGAGTACGGAAGAATTCCTTAATTGCGTGTTTCCTCGCGGAAGACGAGGCGAGACTCATAAAGAAATCTAGAGCGCATACCATTTGCGGAGTACGTGACGTACCATCAGAGGCGATCATTTTTGCGCAAAGTCAAAGTTTAGTTACGTCCGAGTCGTAGCGACAAAAGCCTAACGAAACCAACAGCTAGTCTCGATCATGGTCTTTCGCGTACACAAGTGTATCCCACGTACGTAGACGAAATCGGTTCCAACTATACGACGATGCGCGAAATTTAATTAGGAAAAGTTACACGCTTCGCTCGAGCATTCCCGTCCACGCGTTCCTATTATTCCAACCGGAGTACAAGCAGAGTACATAACGTGTATACGCGCGCATCGCGAGATCGAACGAAATACCATTCTCGCCGTTGAAAACATCCCTTCGACTCGGATTCCCGAATGACGTTTCGAGTGGCCAAGATTCCACCGAGACCAAATTATCCAACATCAAAAGATATTACGTTTCCCGATCGTTCTTTTTAACAAACCTCCGCGACAGAGAGAGACTAATAGCCGGAAAGTTGACCTGGATTTTCTTCCTCCGTTCCATAATCGATGCAACGGATCACGAGTTTCTCGTCTTCAAATCGTATAACAATTTCAACGAATCCAACGATAAATCATAAACGTAAATCGAGTGGATCTTTACGAACTACGTACTCGATCCGATCGCACAATTTTTATTCGCATCGCGCGACCTTTGACGTTTTACCGAAAATCTAAAGAAATCTAAAACTAGAACCGACGACGATTTACTTTTCCAACATCGATAGAAAGAGAGACGTTCTTCTCTTCCCTACACCACCCTCCCCTTTCCTTTCTCTTCGTTTCCTTTTAAAGAAACGAGCCAACGAATCGCGAGAATTCGGCTAGCACCGGGTCAATTATCGCAAAGGTGGTATTGATCTATTGTTGCGCGCTTATTCGCGCGGAGATCGTTTCCCCAAATGGAACGTGGAACGGGAAACTGAAAAATACATTCTCGTTTTTGGAAAGCGGAGGAAATGTCATTGGTCAAGGTAACGGGACGAATTTCCACCCGCGAATCGATATTTCAACAAAAGAATCTCGGCCGCGCATTAACAGACGAAAATACTTTTTTCCCATTTCTTTTTTCTTCTTTTTTTTTTTTTTTTTTTATCTCAGGGAAAAAACAAGCGACGATAAGTTGAAACAATTTTTTCCTACTTTTCCTCGTTTCCGGAAACAAGGAAATCGTCCGAATAATAACAATCTAACCGAATAATCGCGTTCCGATACGATGATTCGAATCTTCTTTCGTTTGAACAACGTTTTATTATTGTTCTTCAGAAGGAGGCAGCGAACGATCGGTAAATCAGATTGTTTCTCTAATTACACAATTATGTTAATCATTGTAATTATTGTAATTGTACGTCGTAGAGAACGAGACGAATCATAATTTCTGGGGCATTACTTTGCGAAAGTAAAATCTAATCAAAAGTTACTTAGCTTAATTCCGAGCGACATTCCCTAATTGGAGAATAAATGAAAGTTTCAGGTGTCGTGGATAAAGAGTCGTGTTTGTATATCGCGATCCCTAAACGCGTTAATCCCTCGTGTCGAAGCGGGATTTCTTTATACGAAACTTTTTTCATCGGTAGGAAAACCCGGTTGCTCGATGGACACGTTCGCGTTAATGGGAAAGAAAAATTAAGGCGAAACGAACGATACCGATGTGCACAGCGTAGATGAAACGAGCGAACGAGAGATGAAAGGTAGCGAGATATAGCACACGCTCGCGTGATTGATTCCCGACTCATTTATCTCGAGAAAATATCTTTCTTTGTCCGAGACAATCACAATTTTCTAAAAGTTTTCCAGATGCATCTTCCGTATACTTTGAAACCTTATACTACGATTCCATCGTATCATCGGCCGAAACTTTTTTTTTTTTTTACTTCCGAATTCCTTTTCTCTTTCCTTTTTCTCAAGGAAAAAAAGAAAGAAAAACTTTGGAAACGTTTTACAACGTTTAAAAATTCTCTCTCTTTTCTCCTTGAAAAATTTCATCTGTCATTTCTCGAAAGAAATCACCGTGCCACGAGATACAATCGATCATTCGGTGTCCACGAATCACCGTACAATTTCGCGAGCGAATCCAAACCTGGAATCGCGATTTCCATATTACCGAAATCCTTGTCCCTTTTCAAGAACCACGACTCCTCGACAAGGTGCACGCAGCTACGCGTCGACGCCTCCGTGTCTCGAGAACCCTCTCCACAACTCGTGTTCGTTCGTTTCACGGCTTCGCGTCCGGAAATAAAGAGAAGCGGTGCTCGTCCGATTCGTCGAGATTCGAGCAAATTTTTCTTACGGTCAAACGATCTTGATAAGTCGAAAAGCGTTAAAACCTCCGAGATATCTATCGACGGTTCTTTGAACGGGCCGATTATGCCGATTCGCGTGTTTCCAAGAAATAAAACAACGTCACAACGAGAGGCGAGACCGACGATTAATTATATTATTAGCATCGACCCCCCGTTCACTCTCTCGAAACGCTTTAGGTCTGTCCGATCAATCGGATTTTGTCAACCAGATTTGCCGGCAACTCGAGCGTACGTACGTATACGTTTTATATAACGTGAAGAGTGGAGGAAGGAGAAGAGCTCGACCGTCGGTGGTTGTTATATCGTCGTGGCGAGGTTAAGCGTGGAAGGGCCTCTGTCGAATCGATTCGACGATGGGTGGAGGGCCTCTGCACACTGCAATGCCGTAACTTGCCCGAGAACCAAGATTTTCACCAACTATCGGATAAAGATGGAAATAGCACGGAGGGAAAAAGATGAGGAGAAAAGGGGCCGGCGAACATCCTCCCTTTTTTACAGAATTATTGGATCCGTCCTTTGTCCAAGTATTTCACGGCGATGGCAATTTCCAACTCTTCGCGACCTACCTTCGCACTCGGCCATTCGTGTATTAATTAAAAATTTGATCTTTCGATTGGTTCAAACGGTCCTTTCCTTTCTCCTTCCTTCGTTCGATAGTTCGTTCGATTTTCTAATCGCTCGTTTCGCTCGTATCGCATGATTTCGACAACGAAATTTTCCAACGGATATAATTGGACGCGTGAAAATTTCCGCAAGAAAATTAAATCCAACGATGTTGGACCGCGCAAATTCCGATCGGCACAGCTTTATCTCTCCGTACAATTACCCAGTCATTCACCGTGTCGGCCCTCCGTAATTTTCAGTAATCTCTAATCAGTGTCAATAAGGGAATTATATTTCGAACCCCTCGATATCGCGTTTGAGTGACAGTGGCGTTTCGCTATTTCGCGATATTAAACCAAGCCAACGAGAGGATAAACACGCGATACGAGCGGCATTCAACGCGACAAAGACGAGAGACTAGGAATAATTGGTCGAGAGACGATCACACTCGAGATACTTGGTGATATAATTTCCCCGTGAAATCGTGACTGGCTTTTTAAAAAAAAAAAAAAAAAAACGAAAGTCGAGAATTTACGACTATATCTCACGGCAGGGAATCGCGTATTCGTTTTCGCCGTTACCGTTATGTTGGTCGTAGTAGATTTATTTTTTTTTTTTATCGACCACGATCTTTATTAACGCAATTAACGTTGTGACAGTCCACGCGCGCACGATCCATCTTCCCGCGTGACAAACAAATTTTTAACACACGATCTCTCGAGGCTGTGTGCACGATCATTTGTAAAAAAAATGAAAAAAAAAAAAAGAAAGATAAAAACATAATCGCGCGGGAGGAAATATTATGCAACGTTTCCCGATATCGACGCGCGACTCGCGTTTCGTGGCACGAAATGACAATAACGGCGACCGATCAACTGTCATTCGGGCTTGGTTTATAATTTTCACAAGTTATCTTCCACGTCCATGGACAATCGGGTCGTGAAAAAAAGGACAGGGGGATCCGAGTACGGTCAGATCAACGCCACTGTCCCAATTCCCGTATCGAAAGAAGTCGATAGACAACGTTGCGCGATCAGCAAAATACAAAGCCCGCGAGTAATCGTGCGAGTATATCGAATATACTCCTCTCTCTCTCTCTCTCCAGGACCGATCCCCGATCGATGCGTTTCGAGGATAGCAAAGAAATATCTTTTTCTCCGCGAACGATCTCTTTCGCAAAATCGTAATTGAATCGAAAGAAAAAAAAGAAAAAAAAAAAAAAAAGAAAACGTATTTGAAACGTATTTTCGACAAAATAATTTTCTCGAGTTCGTGAATCGATACGAATTCGAAAACGAGATTCTTGTCAAAAATCGATCGCCTCGCGCGATGAATCGAAATTCCATTCTTGGCGAGAGAGTGGATTAATCGGCGAAAGATTCGATTCGATCGATCGATTTATTATTCGCGTCGTTTACATCGCGAATCGATCGATGTGTCATAAATTTCATCCACCGTATATACCGTCCAAGTTCGTGTCCAAGCGAGCTTTTTCTTCTCTTGGATGCGTGTTACGCGTCTAATCGAGCGTGCAACTATAACAATCTAGAATAGAAATAATTGGTAAAAGTTTAATTCGAAACATTAACGAGTCCATCGAGAAAATGCGAGGAGTACAGAAGAGAGGAAGAACATGGACGTAACGTTTATACGTGGCGTCGTTTCATCGATCATCGTTCGAGAAAAATTTGAACGAAAACGTGGAAAAATTCGAAAGCGAGAAAATTCAACGACGCGAGGATTCGATTGGAAGATAGAGAGAAATTAATTCGACGTTGATTTCCACCTCGTATCCAAAGATGCGTTTCTCCTGATTTAAAAGCGGATACGCGCGGTAAGTGTACTACTAATTAAACGCGCGCTGTGTCGGATGGAACACGCGCGTAATTGGGCCATCTTTGGCGCATCGGGATTTTTCGCTTCAATTTATTCGTCGAGATCGACCTTGCGCAAAGTGCGGGTATCAAGAGCACGCGATCATCCAAAGTCAAGCATTTTCCATTCGGTCGCGATGAAAATTCTCCTTTCGCCTACTTTCCTTCTCGGAACCGGAGATATTCAAGGTTGTCGGCATCGTTTCCTTATTTAAGATACAAGGAGAGCGTCGAGGAGAATGAATCGATGAAACGGAAAGAGGTGAAACCGTTAGTCGATATTCGCTCGTGCGATATACGCGTAAAAAGCACGACTCGTTTACAAATTCTGCTCTATCGTATATCAAAAGGTACACGTTCGCACCGATATGACGATGATATTTGACCGATTTGTTTAAAGATCGGGCTTTAAGAGCGAGCAGATGCCGAGAAGATGCAGTGGGAAGAATGGAAGAAGAGAAAACGATAAGAAGGAAGGAGACCGAAACGATAACGTGGCCAATGTCGCGACCTCGATACTCGATCAGCCCTCGATTATCCCCCCTCCCTTCTCCTCCTCCTCCTCTCCCCTTCCTCGCCCCCGATGAAAGAAAAGAAAAGAAAAGGAAAAAGAACGAGTCGATAAGAGAGCAAAGAGAGTGGTAATGTTCGTCAACGGGAGAAAAGACAATCGTCGACGAGTAATAATAGCCGTGCGAGTAGGCAAAGTCACGCAACGTTTCGATTTCTTCTTGTTTGAAAGGAAGAAACGATAGGTAATAACGCGATCGAACTAATCGTAGAAATAATGTAATAGATCGTAGATAAACGATTTGGACGAAGAATAATAATAAGAAGAAGAAGAGAAACGAAAAGAAAAAAAGAATAGAGATAGATAAAGATGAAAAGGGATTTGTCTCGTTTTAAAAGTTCCCCTTTCGGAGAGAGGGTTGAATGTGTGCACGACACGTTTCCGTTTCAGTGTGCGTTAATAATCCGTTTGCCGTATAGAACGGTGTACATACCGAGGGCATCAGCTGATCGGTAGACCTCACCCGGGTCACCTTATTTCTGTGAAGCACTCTCTTGACGAGCTTCTCCATCGGTTGGTTCCACTTCATGAAGCTCACGTAAGCCAAGTAGAATCCGAAGAGTACGAGGGCCTCGTACCAGTGAATATAATTATCGCGGAAGAAATAGATCAGGGTGAGCAGACTGGCGCTATAAAAGGTGCAATCGCGGAACAGAGGCCACCATGTGAGGGAGAGCACGGTACGCGAGAATATAGCGCACATGCCAATCACGAAGAGAATATTGAATACGGCGGAGCCGACGATAGTGCCGATACCGACATCGTCGAACGACACGAACACGCCGATTATCGATGTGAAAAGTTCGGGGGCCGAACCACCGGCCGCCATGAAGGTAGCACCCGCAACGTCGTCGGCGATCTCGAGTTTCTCGATGATCACGTCGAGAGACGGCACGAAGAACTCGTCGCAAACGATCGCCAAAGCGACAAACATGTACACAACACCGATTACGTGGAGAATCACGGCACCGCGTCGCCGTTGATGGACGGTGAAGAGATCTTGGGGGAAGAGAGGCGCCTTTTCCTCGGTCATGTTGCCGCCGACCTTCTTGTGATGGTGATGATGAATGGTGCTGTTGTATCCGTCCTCCGCGCGTAGGTCGGCTTCGTTGTTGTTCTCGTTTCCGTTCGGTGGAGGCCAAGTACCGTTCGCCGAGTGGGCCAACAGGGGCGTACTTGTCTTGTTGCTACTCGTTTGCAGAATGATCGGCGCTGGCCTGTGCCCCTCGATCGACGCGGGACCGATCGCTAGGGTCAGCAGGGCCGAGGCCAGTACCGCAACCGCGAATCGCCGCCTCCTCCTCCAACAGCATGTACGTCGTTCGCCGCCTGTCACGATCATCGTCGTCGCTCGTGTTGCTGGTGCTGGTATCTCGCACCCTCGAGGACGTTCGCCGTCGTTAGCGAGTCCACCGTCCTCCTCCTCCTTCTCCTCCTTCGTCTTCTTCTTCTCCGTCCTCCTCCTCCTCCTCCTCCCCCCCGTCCTCGACCACCTCTCTGGCCTCCTCCGCCGCCGCCGCCGCCTTCTCCACCGCCACCACCACCCCCTCCGCCGGCACCACCTCCACCACCTCCTTCTGCGTGTCGTATCGTGTCGCGGCGCGGAGGGTGTACGCCAGCAGAGGTACCCTACTAAGGCTGGGTCATGTTGAAACACCGAGGAGCAGCTCTCGCATGCTCCTCCACCTTCGATGGTTCCCTCCCCGATCGACCGCTGGATCTATCTTTCTTTCTCTTCCGCGATTTCTATTCCACCCTTCTTTTTCTTTTCTCTTTCACTGTGTTGCTTCAACAACCGACCACCTCCACTTTCCTCCCTCTGCTTCTTCTTCTTCTCTTCTCTCTTCCCCTTTCTTCCTCGCGCAGTCTCCGCTTCCGTTGTATTCTTATCGCTACTCCTTTTTACCAGACATAGACACGACTACGCACTGCCAACTTCACGTCGACCGGAGGAATCGTTCACGGCGCGTACCGTTGCGATCTCTAATAACTTTAATCGATACTAACGTAGAGGTATCGTCGTTTTACTCTCCAACAATCACTCTCGATCTAATCATCGACGCGAGCGATGTCGCCGGATATCCTGTTTCTCCTCCTCTTCCTGCTTCCCGGCGGCGTCGTCGTCGCCGTCGTCGCCGTCACTATCGTCGTCGTCGTCGTCGTCGTCGTCGCCGTCGCCGTCGTGGTCGCTAGGATGCGGTGGATGGTGCATATAACCCTGGATGGATATACAGGAGCAGCAGAACGGCGCCCCCGCCGCGATGCCCGCCCGCTGCACACTGGAACAACCCTGTTCCGTTCCGTTCCTCTCTCTCTCCACTTTCCACTCCCTTCTCTCTTCGCCACCATCACCACCACCACCACTCTTCGCCCCTCCGCTGTCTCGCTCTCATTTTCGCCATCCCTTCGACCGACTCTCTTTCCCTCTCGTTTCTCCCTTTTCATTCTCGTCTCTCTGTATCTGCTCGCATCAGCTTCTTCCATCTCCTTCGTCGACATTGGGCGTCTTTCGTCCTCCTCTTCTTCTTTATCTTTCGCTCCCTCCCTCTTTCTCCCTCGCTTTTCGCCCTCCGTATCTCTTTTTCCATTCAACGGAACCACATCGGATCGTCTCTTCCCTTTCCTTCTATATACCCCACCCTTTCCGACTCTCTTTTCCACCGATGCCGCGTAGCGCGTCCCTCTTCTTTCTCGACGACGCTACTCCTCCTCCTCCTCCTCCTCCTCCTCTTCCTCCTTCTCTCTTCCACCTTCCCACCTTCCCTCTTCCTCCACTCCTTCCGTCTCTTTCTCTTCCACCCCGATACTCCCTCCCCTCCCCTCTCCCCCCTCTTTCCAATGGTAGCAGAAGAGTCACCCTCCGACATTTGCCGTTTCACTCACCGCCACCCGTGCACCCTACTTTCCTCTTCGTTTCTCTCGAAATTTCTCCCCATCCACGACACCTGCTCGTGGTGGTGGTGGCTCGTAGAGGTGGGAGCCTGCGCACGTGTAAGCTCTAGTAACGTACGTGTACGTTGGTCGGTCGAGTGTGTAAGTGTGCGCGAGCGCAACCCTCGCTGAACCTCCCGCTCGATATCGAAGAGTCGACTCTACGACTCTACGCTACGAATCCACGTATACCGGGTGTCGCCACGATCATCCTTCTCAACGCGTCAACGTGTTTTCCTTTCGCGTCGTTCGCTTCACGAGCCACGGGATTCTGCCAATCGCGGCATCTCGTTCTTCCTTTATTAAAATTAAGAGATTCTTACGAATTACGAGTAGTTTGACGAACTCTTTCATCAAGCTATATCGGTTCTTTCGTAGCCTCTCGAGTCAGAGATCCACTGGAATCCAGAGTCTTGGAATTTTCGACGCGTTAACCATTTTGGAGAACATTTTTATGTAATTCGACGATCGTAGATGGAAAGAAAATTCGAAATATCATCGAAATATACGAAACTTGTATATTTTTTTAAAACGGGACAGCGTTCAATCCTCATCCTCCAGCGATAGCCTCGCAACGAGACGAGCAAAACGATGCTCTAATGTCGAAAGTTTGGACAATGCCTCGAGTATCTCGTGTCTCTCGAGCGATTCAACTTTTTAAGCTATACATAAGGAGGAAAGAAATTCGAGACTTGTTCTCTCTTTGAAAACTCTAGAACACGGTTCATCGATGTTTAATAGAAAAGATGATATCTCGATATTTGCGTGCGGTTACTCTAAATTTCAGGCGGCGTGCAACGAGCGATAAGTAATGTCTATCGTTAAACAATTGCTAATTCTCGTAAACTTAATATATCCAATTCAACGTTTCTCACGACAAGAATAACGAGTTTAGCGTAAAAGTTTGTTATCGGAGAAACGGTTAGAAACGGAATAATATTTCCTCGTCAGCCTTGTCACAACGAAATCATGCCGTTCCTCTCTCCTTAACCTTCTACATTTAAGATTCTCCGTTTCGTCGAGAGAGAGAGAGAGAGAGAGATGATCACGCACGATCGGAACACAAAACAATCTTAAAAACGTATCGCTCGAAAGATCGAAGAACGATACAACACTCAGCAACGACCACGGCTTAATTTTATCGTTACGTTGGTAGGATTCTTTAGATACTCGCTTAGACTCTTGACCTTTTTCTTCGCTTCTTTCGCTGCGAAACAGAATCGTGGAAAATTGCGACGGTACACGCAGAACCCACTGTGTTCGGTTGTACAAAGTTTGTCTCGAGGCTGGCGTAACTGTGCACCATTGTGATGCGCAAACTGTCTGCTTGCTCTTTCTCTGCATCCATCAAAACTTCGCCTGTCCGGTATTCCTTCTTAAAAGCCGGTTCGTTACGTTCCAGAGGTCGTTACAGTTATTAGCGGGCGAGGAATGCCGGAACCGGAGACTTTCCAGCTTTTGCTTCGTTTCATCTTTCCGCGGTTTTCGCTTTTGCTATCAACCGACACGTGAGGGAAAATTCTCGTAAAAAAAAAAAAAAAAAAAAAAGAAAAGCACCGACTCGATTTTTAAACGATGATACGCTTCTTATGCTTGCCTCGTGGCTTTCGAATTTTAATTATAATTTCGCTTTCCTTCTCCCTCTTTCAAACATCCGTCGAAACACGCTTGATTTATAGTTGTTTTCCGCATTGATCTCTTGTCCTTGTCCTTCGTGGACTCGATCCGCCATAAGAGTTTTCCTTTCGAGAAATTACCAATTCTTGAATCTCACAAATGCGTCTCGATGCTTTCAATCGGTTTACGATAATTTTATAATTCGAGTTCCGTAACGTATTTCACGGGAATGAATCGTGTTCCGGCTTACGTCGCGAAATACGATCGGGAGTCATTAATAATATTAATAGTTAAAGAAGGGGTGAATCGTTTAGAGTGGGATTAAAAGTGGCCGCAATTTCGCCCCTAGCTTTGGAAACGATGGAACGGAAGAGGAAGAACTAGAGAGAGCAATTACCCGGCCAAGGGAAAAAAATGTATCCTCAATTTTCCAGTTCAACGAAGTCAATGTTTGAAACGAAGCCACCGATTCTATCGAGCCGGACATCTACTTATACGGAAATGTACATCGATTCTGATATTATAGCATCGATCGGAGACCGACTTAGAGCCGCTCTTCTCCCGCTAAGCCATGCGCGATTGCGTTAAGGTAATGCGAATTTTCGTTACTCGCTGCTACGACGTTATCGATATCGTCGAATATCGATACGCCGTAAAGTATCTTTACTCGAAATTCATTTACAACACACGAAATTTTAATTTTAATGCACGATTAATCCGAATTAGTGTCGAGCGTTAACTCCATTTGTACGAACGTTTGTTATTACAATGGATCGTAATAGAAACACGAATTCCCAATCTATATATCTTCGATACAAAATTCTTTTTAAATTCGTAACTTGTTCGAAAGGAAGAAAATTTTTTGAATATAATACATGTAAGATGCATCAAACATCCTTATTCTTATATAAAATAGTAACGGATATATTATAGCCAAGTCTGGCGTCATTCTGGCGATGATATAAATTACTAACCATAGCTAACCATCGAAATTAGAAAAACGCAATAATGCAAAATAACGACGTTGATTCGAGTAACGTAGTATCATTGATATCAATGAGTGAAACGTCAGCCACAATGCTACGTCTATCGTTTTTTTACTCTTCGTTGCTTTAGTTGCTTTATTCGAACTTTCCATTTAAAAGTTCCGACATTTTTTCTTTTATTTATAGGCAAAGACCGATGTCTTTCTTTGTATTCAACTTACGAGCACGACGAGTCGGCTGGTTTTAACGTTTCACTAGGTCTATCCTCCGTCAAATTCCTAAGTTGAAATTGCGCGATAACGTGGTTCCTCAGATCCGATGTTGCGTCAATAACCGATAGACTTTTCGTCTAATTTGTCGTCGAATAATTGAACTCGATCGGAGATAAGAACGGCTACGTTCGATACGAGAATGGAAAAAATGATTAAAGTCCGTGCTCCACGATCGAGCCAATTAAGGGGAAACAGGTCGGATTTACTCTGAATGAAAGAGGACACTCGTGTACAAGTTGTACACGGAGTGTGTACAAAGGGTCAGCTGGTATCCACAGATCAGTTATATAGGGCACACCATCCTCCAAAGTTTCGACGTCTCTCCGGTCGAAAGGTGGAACCAGCCCCATTATCGAACGTCCTGCTACGAGCAGCACTGTCGCCGCCGATTCATCCCCACGCCGTGGTCCTCTTCCAACGAGTTTCCAAACGCCTTCTCCCGATCAACCGCAAAATCCCGAGAAATAATAATCGGAGAAGTTCTCGTGTTCCCCGATTCTTTGCGACATCGACGCCACGTCGAGTCCCCTTGCTCGGCGAGATGAGGGCGATCAGTCATCCTTGATTACGTAATGCCGCGTCCTGGAAAAGCCGGGAGCCCCTCGTGCGACCGATAACAAACGCCGACCTAAATACGTTCCCGCCAAAC